AAAAGAACTCAGTTGGAAGATTTAAACACTCTGGTTTTAAGATTTAACTATAAATTTACAGTAACTGGAGCAGTGTAGTATTGGTGTAAGATGAGACAGATCCATGGTACAGGATGATAGAAAGTACACAAATAGAGTGCCATATTTTTTGGTCAATTGGTTTCCACAAAGCTGCTGAGATAATTCAATATGAAAGGGGAAGTCTCTCAGTTCTAGTGGTCATTTGACATCAAAACTGCCAGAATCTTCTCCTCCTGGTCCACTTCAGTGTATCAGAGAAAAACCAAAATAGTATAGATTCTTCTTCTCAACTAGAGAAGGAGATAAGCGAAATGCTTATCTTTTGTGGCCCTGTTCAATTGAAATGGATATAGAGTAACAAGATTGTAACATTACCTAATTTGGGAAAGCAATAATGAAGAAATCTAAAGCAAAGAAAATTTAGCTCTAGTACTTGGGAAAAATGACCCCCAAATCCCACAATTTCAATAAATTCTTATTTTTTTTCTTTCCCAAACCTAATAAATACTAAGTGGTTTTAATTTTTGCCTCAACTGTCAAATATAATTTTTTAAAAGATTTATATATTTATTTATTTATTTGACAGAGATCATAAGCAGAGAGGCAGGCATAGAGAGAGGGGGAAGCAGGCTCCCCGCCGAGCAGAAAGCCCAATTCGGGGCTCAATCCCAGGACCCTGAGATCATGACCTGAGCCGAAGGCAGAGGCTTTAACCCACTGAGCCATCCAGGTGCCCCTGTCAAATATAATTTAATAAATTCATTAGAAACAAACAAAAAGGGCGCCTGGGTGGCTCAGTTGGTTGAGCGACTGGCTTCGACTCAGGTCATGATCCCAGACTTCCAGGATCGAGTCCCGCATCGGGCTCCCATCTCCTTGGGGAGTCTGTTTCTCCCTCTGACCTTCTCCTCTCTCATGCTCTCTCTCCCTCATTCTCTCTCAAATAAATAAAATCTTTAAAAAAAAAAAAAAGAAACAAACAAAAAAAGAAGGATGTTATATTTACTGTTGTTAACACATGCAAGACACTCCTAAGGAGCTTTATATGAGATTATATATATATGTATGTATACACATACACACATATATGCACATATACACACATTATATATAATTCCTCACAATAATCCTATGATACAGTACTCAAGCTCATGTCATAGACCATGAAACTGAAACAGAGAATTACAGAACTTGTTCAAAGTCACATAGTGGTAAAGTCAGTATTTGAACACTGCCTAACTACAGAATATTCTTTTAACTATTATGCTATATGTTTTACAGATAAGAGCTAAAGGACTTTAACGGGGCACCCCAAAGTTAGCTAGACTAGTTGGAGAAGACCACATGATAGATGAAGCTTGAATAAGCCCTGAAGTATAAATAATATTTTTTTAAAAGAAAGTCTTTTTTTTCAAAGACTTTACTTATTTGAGAGAGAAAGAGAAAAGGGCATGAGAGGGGAGATGGCCCGAGGGAGAAGCAGACTTCCTCTTGAGCAGGGATCCCAATGTGGAACTCAATCCTGGGCCTCCAGGATCATGACCTGAGCCGAAAGCAGTTGCTTAACCAACTGAGCCACCCAGGTGCCCCGAATAGTATTTATTTAAGCAAAGGAAGATCAGAATTAAGTAAGAGCAGGGAAATAGGATAACTGATGTCTTAAAGTTGAAACAGTGTATGTTCAGGAAATTTAAGGGTATAACAAATTTGAGATTAATGGAAGATGAATTGAAAAAAACAGATGGTCTTCAATGCCAGTTTATAGAGTTGGTACTTTATTCTATAGGTGTGAGAGAGCTAACAACAGTTTTGGTTTGTTTGTTTTTAAGATCTTATTTATTTTCTTGACAGAGAGCACAAGCAGGGGAGCAGCAGGCAGAGGGAGAGGGAAAGCAGTCTCCAGGCTGAGCAAGGAGTCTGATGCAGGACTCGATCCCAGGAACCTGGGATCATGACCTGAGCCGAAGGCAGAACCTTACCTGACCAAGCCACCCACGTGCCCTAACATCGGTTTTGAACAGGGGATAAGATGGATAACATTGGTATTTGAGAATATTTCATTCATGGGCATTGTGTAAATGCATTCAGGGAGAGGGTACTTTAGGAGTTATGGTGGTCTGGGCAAGAATGAAGAAAAGCTGAACAAAAGAGGGCAGGTTGCAATGGATATATGAAATACTTTGAAGTGGTTTTGTTGACCAAAAAATCGACCAAATAATGGGGAATAAACGAGAAAGGAAGCCAATATTATTGGATTTTTAAACCTTTAATAAAAATAGGGAGTTGTGGGGCGCCTAGGTGGCTTAGTCGGTTAAGCGTCCAACTCTTGATCTCAGCTCTGGTTTTGATCTCAGAGTTGTGAGTTCAAGCCCTGTGTTGGGCTCCATGATGGTATGGAGCCTATGAAAGAAAGAAGGAAAGAAAGAGAGAGAGAGAGAAAGAAGAAAGAGGAAGGGAGGGCACCTAGGTGGCTCAGTGGGTTAAGCCTCTGCCTTCGGCTCAGGTCATGGTCTCAGGGTCCTGGGACTGAGCCCCGCATCTGGCTTTCTGCTCAATAGGGAGCCTGCTTCCCCCTTTCTCTCTCTGCTTGCCTTTCTGCCTACTTGTGATCTCTCTCTCTCTCTCTGTCAAATAAATAAATAAAATCTTAAAAAAAAAAAAAAGGGAAGGGAGAGCGGGGGGAGAGAAAGAGAGGAAGAAAGAAAGAGTGAGAGAGGGAGAAAGGAAGAAAGAGGAAGAGAGAGAGGGAGAGAAAAGAGAAAGGAGGTAGGGAGGAAGGAAGGAAGGAATAGGAAGTTGTTTGGAAAAGAATATTTGAGAAGGAACATATAATAATGATTGATTTTCATTATGTTTAGAGAGTATAGTGAACTATAGCTTGAAACTATAATGGTTTGAAACTATAATGAAAAATTCGAGAAGAGGTATTCTGTGGGGAGGTGGAGCTAAGGAATTAGAGTTTAAGAGTCTGAGAATAGAGATGAAGATTTGTGTGTATTCAGCATAAGCAAATTGAAACGTAAGCCAGTACCAGTTCACCAAGAGAAAAAAAGCACAGATACAGATAAGAGAATGTTGCTCAGTATCTGCCAGAGTGTTAGAGGGAGAAGATAAGCCAGCAAATGAGAGAAGCAGTAGTCATCAAGAGTTGGAAAATACAAGACACCTGGGTGGCTCAGTGGGTTAAGCCTCTGACTTCAGCTTGGGTCATGATCTCAGGGTCTTAGGATCGAGCCCTACATCGGGCTCTCTGCTCAGCGGGGAGCCTCCTTCCCCACCACTCTCTGCCTGCCTCTCTGCCTACTTGTGATCTCTCTCTCTCTCTCAAATAAATAAATAAAATCTTTAAAAAAAAAAAGTTGGGGGCGCCTGGGTGGCTCAGTGGGTTAAGGCCTCTGCCTTCGGCTCAGGTCATGATCCCAGGGTTCTGGGATCGAGCCCTACATTGGGCTCTCTGCTCGGCGGGGAGCCTACTTCTTCCTCTCTCTCTGCCTCCCTCTCTGCCCACTTGTGATCTTTGTCTGTCAAATAAATAAAAAATCTTTAAAAAAAAAAAAGTTGGAAAATACTTCTGTGTGCTCATCTTCCTCCTCTATATATGTGAACCTTTGCTATACCTCTTCACAATAATTTGAGTGTGTTTTCTTGCCCTGTTCATACCTCATTACTGCCCTGTTCATACCTCATTACTGTTTAAACCAGCATGTCTAGATTTTCTATATACCTACCTCCCTTGCTTTATAATCATTTTTTAGGCTTTTTCAAAACTGACTAGTTCTAATTGGATAGTAAGATATTTTCAAGGCCCTGAGTCCAAAGCTATATCTAATTTCAGTAGCTTGTCAGTAGAATAAAAAACTAGTGTCTCACCAGAATTTTAGCTACTCACCAGGAGAATTAGTCTTTAAAAATATATAAATGCATTTATTTTGAAGCGTGATTTAATTCTGAATATTTTCTAATTGAATAACAGAATTCTTGGGGGGAGAGGGTACAAGGGAGGGTTGGAAAAAGTAAGTTCCAGAGAACCAGAGAGAGAAAACAGATGTACTTTAAAATCCTTAATCATGAGGGACACCTGGGTGGCTCAGTTGGTTGAGCAACTGCTTTCGGCTCAGTCATGATCCCAGAGGACCAGGATCGAGTCCCCCATCAGACTCCCAGCTCCACAGGGAGTCTGCTTCTCCCTCTGACCTTCTTCTCTCTCACTGTCTCTCTCTCCAATAAATAAAATCTTTTAAGAAATAAAAATAAGGGCGCCTGGGTGGCTCAGTGGGTTAAGCCGCTGCCTTCGGCTCAGGTCATGATCCCAGGGTCTTGGGATGGAGCCCCGCATTGGGCTCTCTGCTCAGCAGGGAGCCTGCTTCCCTCTCTCTCTCTCTGACTGCCTCTCTGTCTACTTGTGATCTCTCTCTGTCAAATAAATAAATAAATAAAATCTTTTTAAAAAAATAAATTAATAAAAATAAAAATAAAATCATTAATCATGAAAGACATGGGATAAATAATAATAAATAAAATAATAATTTATTTTTAATAAAAAAATATTTGTTGAATATTTTAAGTTTCAGCCTACGCTGAAGCTAAGGCTGCTGGAGTTGATAGGAAGGAGAAATTGATCTCTCTTTTGAGTACCCATAAGTTTAAACAACAGGCATTTTTTTATATGTGAAAACGTACGTATTGGGGCACTGGGAGGCTCAGTTGGTTAAGTGTCTGACTTCGGCTTAGGTTGTGATCTTGGGGTCCTGGGATCAAGCCCCACATCTGGCTCCATGCTCAGTGGGGAGACTGCTTCTCCCTCTGCCTCTCCCTTTCCCCACTCATGTTCTCTGTCTCTCTCTTAAAAAAACAAACAGAAAAACAGAAAAGAAAACATACATTAGCTAAAGTACTGTGAAAAGGAAGCATTTCTGTATTAGAGAACACAAAATCCTGACTTAAAAAAATGTCTAAATACAGCCTTTCACTTTTTTCAGAGGAGACGCGAAAACAAGGCTTATTTCAATGGCTTGATTCTCTTCAGATTGATAACCCCACCTCTCCAGACCTGCAGCTCACTGTTGGAGCAGTGATTGTAGAGGAAATGAGAGCGGCCATAGAGAAGGAGACGGGCTTTCAGTGTTCAGCTGGAATTTCACATAATAAGGTGAAGGCTAATAGTGGGTTTCAAGGAGAAACATATCTGTAGTTAAATGCGACATGGATGGATATGAGTGGGGCACTTAAACCATTACATGCCTACTTTGAAAGGGGTTTCTATTTAGATTTGTTTTTGTTTTGTGTGGGCATCTGGGTGGTTCAGTCGGTTAAGTGGCTGCCTTCCGCTCAGGTCTCAGGCTCCTGGGATCCAGCCCAGCGGTGTATCAGGCTCCTTGCTCAGCAGGGAGTCTGCTTTCCCTCTCCCTCTGTGCTCTCTCTCCCTCCATCCCTCCCTCTCTCCCTCTCCAGTAAATAAAATCTTTTAAAAAAAATGTTTTGCAGACCAAACAAAAGCCTGAGTAATTCTCTAACAAGGGAAATTGTCATTGAACATGTACTTTCCTAAGAAGCGATCTGAAAAATTGGCAGAACATGCTTATTTATATAGTTGTGTCCAAAATATTTCCTTAATAACTGAACTGTTATTAAAAAGAAATGTCAATCTTTTAATTTTATATACAAGCCTATTTCTTTTCACTTTCTGAGTATCCTAGTATTATCTCAATACTTTCGTGGAATTGCCTGAGTAGGTTTTTGCCTATTCCCTCCTTTCTAGTGAGCAGTAAGAAAGATAGAATAATAAAATTTTATTAATTTGGATCAGTGTTTTGGTTTAGGGACCACAGACAATTATCAATAATCCAGGGGTTGAATAACTGGTTTTATTAAAGTACAGTGAGGGTATGGGATCTTCATCCCCTTCTGACTAGGCTCAATAATTGGGCAGTGCCTGATTATTCCTGGTTCCTACCTTTGCCCCCTTCCTCCAATCGCCAAACTATCCCTCAGAGTTTTAGAATATTTTTGTGATTGGGTGAAGGGAGGGGAAACCAAAGTCCCACTGTAGTAATTTAAATAAGACTGAATATTGCCTAGGAGAAGTTCCAGAGAATCTCTCCAATGAATTTAAAGGATAATTTTATACTTTTCCTACCAGTTACAATTTGTGAAATACCACTGAAGCACCTTATTCTTTCAAGAGAGTTCTCAAGGACTTAGGTTTTTTTTCATTTTGAAGTCTTGTTTCTAGTATAAGATGTATACTAATTGGATGATCATTTTGAGTCCAATCTCTATCACAGATACTTAAATTATGGCAAACTGTGTTAAATCCAGGACTCAAAAATTAATCAAGAAATGTAAATAAATGGGGTAGGGTAAAACAGGTTGGCTGCAGCATTTTTATATGGACATGCCAAGAAATGCATCGTATAGAAGTTTCTTCTGCAGCTTCTCTGGGCTTTTTACCCTCTTGAAGTCAGAGAACCTTAAGGAATAGATGGGGATGGAAAAATGACAAAGGAAAACTGAGAATAGAAGATGTGGAAAGAACAATGAGGATGATAATGGGTCATAGTTTCCACTGAGGATGTTGTGGGATACCAAGGTTTAGAGAGGTCTTGAGTTTCTGGTTTTGGTTTTGGTTTTAATGTGGAAACCATTAGTTACAGCCCTTAAGCGGTGCCTGTGTTTGTTTGTGTGTGTTAATATTCACCAACTCTCTGTGTGGGTGAGGTTGGCAGTAAGGAAGTTTTTATCCTTTCCATGCTCCAGGTCCTGGCAAAACTGGCCTGTGGACTGAACAAGCCCAACAGCCAGACCCTGGTCTCACGCGGGTCAGTCCCACAGCTCTTCAGCCAAATGCCTATTGGCAAAATGTAAGTATTCAAGGAGAACCTTCCATTTCACTCACATACTTCATGCGGGCACTCTCTGGTTTCTTCTGCTCCTTATGAAAGACTGAAGCCAGGAAAAGTAGGTAGCCATAGCCAGGAAGGTAGAAGGGCGATAACACAGGAGATTTTGAAAAACACAGAGACTTTTGTTCCTAATGAACATTCAATTCTGGATTATCTGTGGAAGTTATTTAATACTGAATTTTAAAATGAACTGGTTTTTAGCTATATATTTAATTTCTCTCTAGCCTTTTTTTTTTTTAAGATTTTATTTATTTATTTGACAGGCAGAGATCACAAGTAGGCAGAGAGGCAGGCAGAGAGAGAGGAAGGGAAGCAGGCTCCCCGCTGAGCAGAGAGCCCAATGCGGGGCTCGATCCCAGGACCCTGGGATCATGACCTGAGCCGAAGGCAGAGGCTTTAACCCACTGAGCCACCCAGGCGCCCTCTCTCTAGCCTTTTTATTCAAGTCTGTTACTAAATAACAAAACAAATAGAAATTTTACTTATTTTTCTTCTAATATGAGATCAAGGTGTTCAGGGCTGCTGAATTACTCCCAAACTACGTATGAGAGAAAAAGCTAAATAACGTGAATAATTAAGCTGACCATACCAATGTGTGTCCTTGACAGTGGCGTAAAATACTGTGGAAGGGACAAGATGTAACAGTTGAAAGCAACAGTGAAAGTGCTATCAAGACTGTACATGACTGGGGCGCCTGGGTGGCTCAGTGGGTTAAAGCCTCTGCCTTTGGCTCAGGCCATGATCCTGGGGTCCTGGGATGGAGCCCCACATTGGGCTCTCCCCTCAGCAGGGAGCCTGCTTCCCCCCGCCCCCCTCCCCCCGCCGCTCTCTCTGCCTGCTTCTCTGCCTACCTGTGATCTCTGTCTGTCAAATAAATAAATAAAATCGTAAAATTTAAAAAAAAGACTGTACATGACTCACCTGCCTGGGTGGCTCAGTTGGTTGTTTGCCTTCAGCTCAGGTCATGATCCCAGCCCCACATCTAGCCCACATCGGGCTCTCTCCCTCAGTGGAAGGGGGGCTGCTTCTCCCTCTGCCATTCACCCCCTGGTTTGTACTCTCTGGCCCTCTCTGTCCAATAAATAAATAAAATCTTAAAAAAAAAAAAAGACTGTACATGAGTAGTTGCTAAGTGAGTTGTACAGGTAGTTATCAGAGTTCATGGAAAAGAGCTCTGAGGATTTATGAAAAAGACATGACATTTTGTCTTGTCAGATGAGAAAAGAACAATTCTGATTTCAATAATGTTTTGAACACACAGAGGGGAAAAGTATAAGGTATTTTCAGTGAGCTGGGACTTAAACTAGTTTAACTGGACCAAAAAGAATTATGTGAGAGAAATAGTACTGAAAGGTAGGTCGAGGACAGATTATAGGTGGCCTCAAAGGCCAAGCTTAAGAATTATTATTATATTCTTTTTAAAAATATTTTATTTATTTGACACAGAGAAAGAGAGAGAGAGAGAGCACAGCAGGGGGAGCAGCCGGCAGAGGAAGAGGGAGAAGCAGTCTCCCCACTGAGCAGGGATCCCATGTGGGACTTGATCCCAGGACCCTGAGATCAGGACCTGAGCCAAAGGCAGATGCTTAACTGGCTGAGCCACCCAGGCACCCCTGGGGTTAGAATTTTAATCCCTAAATGGGACAGTAGATCCTGTACAATTAAAAGTTTTACATACAGTTGACTTGAAAACTAATCAACGACTTTAACCTTTAATTGATGCTATTGTTAATCTTCCCAGGTCCTAACTCCTAGTGTATTTGAATTTCCGGAATCATCCAGTCTTATACTAGAAAATTAATAGTTTACAAGACTGACCAATAAGTGCTCTCATTTTCCCTGAATCCTCAGAAGAGTTACTTACACAAGCAAAATTTTTTTTTTTAAGATTTTATTTATTTATTTATTTGTCAGAGAGAGAGAGAGAGAGAGAGAGAGCACAAGCCAGCAGAGAGGCAGGCAGAGGCAGAGGGAGAAGCAGGCTCCCCACTGAGCAAGGAGCCCGATGCGGGGCTCCATCCCAGGACCCTGGGATCATGACCTGAGCCGAAGGCAGCGGCTTAACCCACTGAGCCACCCAGGCGCCCCCACAAGCAAAATTTCTTATGTCTGCTGCTAACCAGATATTTATGATGTGACCTATCAATTCTTTCTCTCTCTTGTTAGCCGTAGTCTTGGAGGAAAACTCGGTGCCTCGGTCATTGAAATCCTGGGGGTGGAATACATGGGCGAACTGACTCAGTTCACTGAATCTCAGCTCCAGAGTCATTTTGGGGAGAAGAATGGGTAAGCGGTTCCTAATACTTGTCAATCATAAGCTTTATGGAGATGCTGAATTCAAATATGGACAAAAGCACCCAGTAAAATTTAGACCTATCTTTAACATTTGTTCCTTGAGGTAATTTCATTGGTCCTTTTGCTTTAAAATATTAGATCACTGTGGCCTGTCTGGAGTAGTTTTTCATTTACCTAACTAGGTTGATAGGCTTGGATATAGACATCATTTCTGTGTGCTAAAATGCCTAAATTCTTTGTAGTAAATACCAAAAATTTGGGGGATATGAATCAGTGGCTTGCTCCGTGCTTTTCAAAAATATAAATGACTTGGCTTTAAAAAGCATAACCAAGTGTCCCTCTCCTTGGCAATATATTGCACTAGAATTCTTTGGGAAGCGCAGGGATTCTGTCAGAGGTGAGGTATACTTAATTTTAGACAAAATTTTCCTTTTCCCTGAAGGACATAAAAGGGTAGTGCAATGTAGGTATTTTATTTTAACAAGAATAATCATTTGCTTTTGCCTTAAAGTTTTTTTGCTGCTTTTATTAGATCTTGGCTATATGCCATGTGCCGTGGGATTGAACATGATCCAGTTAAACCCAGGAAACTACCTAAAACCATTGGCTGCAGCAAGAACTTCCCAGGAAAGACGGCTCTGGCTACTCAGGAGCAGGTAGGCAGGCCTTCTTGACAAGAACATTGCCTCTTTTAAAGGGGTTAGTGGGTAGGTTTTGGTAACTGCAGAACATTTAATAAGTTAGATGGAACCTTTCTGTTGTAAAGTATGAAGGGGTGTGTGTGTGTGTGTGTGTGTGTGTGTGTGTGTGTATGTGTGTTGAAAATTGAGCTTTATGTATTATATTTTCCATCCAAAAATAAATAAAATGGAACTAAGTGAAATTTGAAATGAAATTACTCATTTTTTTTTTTTTTGATAGGTGGTAATGTGGAAGGCCTGGGATATTATGCCCCAAGTTTGTGTGTGTTATTTTTCTCAGAGCTGGAACATGCCTGAAGTTCACCTGATGGCATGCCAGCCAGAAAAAAAAATGAAAATCTTGAGCTAGGGCAGATCAGCAAAGGTCTATGATCTGGTGATCCCTTGGTTAAGGAGGAGACTTTACTGTGCATTTACATTTGTGGGAGAACGGAACAAATCCTCCATCTAGTATTATAACAAACCTAGAATTTTTTAATGAAAGATTAAAGTCTCAACACTTTTTTAGGTACAATGGTGGCTTTTGCAATTAGCCCATGAACTAGAGGAGAGACTAATCAAGGACCGAAATGATGTAAGATTTTCTTTCTTTATTCTTGGGGTGAGCTTTGGGATTTAAATACCAGTTGTTGCTTACCTGGAGAAGTAGTAGAGACAAAGATATAAAAAGATACCAGACTAGGAAATTTTAGGAAATCTTTTATGTCCTTCCATAAAACTCCCATAAAACTCAACATGATCTTTGGAAGCCTAGATCTGTGAATATAAGAACTGACTACGCCATCTCCCTCATTACTCTTTGCCTCTACTCTTTTGGATACTTCTTATTTAACCTCTCCTGCAGTCCTGAATATACAGTGGATCTTCTTCAGAGGACAGAGCCATTAAATAGGGCATTCAGGGATTAGACTATAAATTATTGGAACTTAAACACAGTCCATGTGACAGGAAGTACTGGCAGTTTTAGAGTATGAAGTCAAAGACTTGACATCTGATTAGTTTATCCTTTCCTTTTAAAAAAATAGCTTTATTGGGGGTGCCGGGGTGGCTCAGCTGGTTAAGCATCTGCATTCAGCTCAGGTTATGATCCCAGGGTCCTGGGATCGAGCCCTGTGTCGGGCTCCCTGCTCAGCGGGGAGCCTTCTTCTCCCTCTCCCTCTCTCTCACTCTCTTTCAAATAAATAAATTAAAAAAAAATCTTTGGGAAATAGCTTTATTGATATATATTTTACATGCCATAAAATTCACCCATTTACAGTAAACAGCCCAGTAGTTTCAACTTAGTATATTTCAGAATTGTTCACCCATTCCACAATCAATTTAAGAACATTTTCATCACCCAGAAAAGAAATCCTATACTCATTAGCAGTTACTCACCCAATCCCAGGCAACCACTAGTGTGCTTTGTCTTCATAGACTTACTATTCTGGACATTTCACATAAGTGGACTAAGGCAATATGTGGCCTTTTTGCTGGCTTGAAATCTTTTGGTTAACATAATAGTTTCAAGGCTCACTCATATTGGAACATGTATCAGTATCTTTTGTCCTTTTATGAATGAATAATATTCTATTATATGGATATACCATATTTTGTTTATCTATTCATCAGTGAATGGATATTTGAGTTGTTTCTGCCTTTTGGCTATTATGAACCATGTTGCTATGAACATTCATGTACAGATTTTTGTGTAGACATACGTTTCATTCCTCTTGGGTATATACCTAAGATTAGAATTGGTGGCTCACATGGTAACTATATTTAGCATTTTGAGGAACTACCAGACTGTTACTGTGCTACATTATATTCCCAGCAATGTAAAAAGGTTTTAATTTCACTATATCCTGTTACTTTTTCTTATTTTAGTCATACTAGTGGGTGTGAAGTGGTATCTCATTGTGGTTTTCAGGTGCTTATTGGCCATTTTCTTATCTTCTTTGGAGAAATTTGTCAAGATCCTTTGCCCGTTTTTGAAGTGGTTTGTTTCTTCATTACTGAGTTTTAAGAGTTCTCTATAAATTCGAGGCATAAGTCCCTTGTCAGATCATTCTCAAGTATTTTCTCCCATTCTGTGGGGTTTTTTACTTTCCTGATGGTATTATTTGATATGTTCTCTCATGTTTCCACATCTAGGAGTCCTACAAGTCAACAACTGTACTGTCAGAAATCACCCACAACTACCTGTTTGCCCCTTGCCAGCTGAATTGGTGGTGATGAATGTTTGTTCTTCGGTGGGCCACTTAGCGAGGGAGAGGATCCCAGTTCTTACGGGCCTACTTGCCTTTGCTCACTAGGTGTCGCTCTGTTCTCATTTCTCCTTATAAGGCTTCATAGGCTTTCAAAGCCTTAAAGTGGGGCTTTTCTTCCCACTTTGTATCTAATGCAACATAGTAGGGATCTGTATCTATCTTTCCAGAAATTCATCTTTCTTTAAGCTTAAAAGGACTTTATGCCGAAAGTAATTCTGGATCTGTAAGATCCTTGTCACTTCACTGTTTAAAGTATTAATTATGTTTATTTCCAAACCATTCTGTCACCCTGGTTCTTTTAATTTCCTCCTCAATATATAGAATCCAGATGCTCACAATAACTTCGGTTCTGGTCTCAATCCTTTTATACCCACAGAATGACAGGGTGGCCACCCAGTTGGCTGTGATCATTCGTGTACAGGGAGACAAACGTCTCAGCAGCGCACGCCGCTGCTGTGCTCTTACCCGCTATGATGCTCACAAGATGAGCCGTGATGCATTTGCTGTCATCAGGAACTGTAACACTTCAGGAATCAAAACTGACTGGTGAGTTGAATTCTAGCTTGTCTTCTCAAAAGACACTTATACCCTGACTTGATCTAAAATTTGTGGGTATACAGCTTTCCAGAGAGAGTAGGTTCTTGGTAATGACTCTAGCTAGGTCCTACTAGGTCACAGAGAGGAATAGCAGAGCACAATAGAAACACCAGAAACAAGGCAGCTCAACTACCGATTCTTTGCCTACATGTGGCGCATTCCAGTTCTCAGGGGTGGGTTTCAGAGGCAGAGTAAACCAATATTATCCCTGCCTTTGATGCAATCAGAGCGAAGGGCCAGTTGCAGGTGTGAGTATGGAACTCAAGTTTCAAGAATACATTTGGGAACTTCTCTCTCAATACTTGATTGTTCTATCTTAAAACTTGATAAGATTATCTTAAAACACTTGAAAATGAAAGTGACCTGTATTTATTGATAATCTCAATTTAACATCCCAGCTGGTATAATACTGAAGGTCATATTAAATTTCACTTCATTTAGTAATGAAAAATAACCAAATATATCATTGGAATGTGTCCATTTATTGTTCTGATATTAATGATTTTCAGTATTGGAATCCTGTTTATTTAACATTGCCTGTTACATTGAAAAAAGTACTCCTAATTCACAATGGAAATATAATTATGTGAGAAACATAAATTGGTTGCTTACTTATAGATCTATATTGAAGATAATAAAAGTTTAACCTGAAACTAATGCAACTCAACTATAAATAAATAAATAGACAACAAAAGTTTCATTGAACACCTAAGTTAATTGCTTATCTAATTATGTGGGTACTACTATTGTACGTGCAGACCTACAATATGATGGGGTCGCTAAAGCTGGAATCTTTGTTCTTTGTGTAGAATAATTTGTTTAGCTTCTACTTCCTGGTACATGTGTTTATTTTCAAATACTGAAACAGTTTCACTGAACTAAATGATAAATTTATCATTTGTAAATTTGTGTTCATATGAAACAGACTCTAACAAATACTTACCAGGAGTGTGAAACCTATTGAAAGGGAAGCATCAAATGATCTGATTGTAAGACTGTTCAAAAACAAGAAACCAGAGAACAGTGAGATACTGTCCTCACAGTTTTAGAAAGGCATTTACTCTCTACCTCATTAAGGGACTAATCTGTATATAAAAGCATGTTTTACCTTCTGAAATACAATTTATGTGAAAATTATTTTCATTATTTTCATAATTTTCATAATTGAATTTCTTGAAATGTTTCTGAGACTAGGATAGGTAATTCCAGTTGTGGGATTTCATTCTTTAGAAATTCAAGTTGAAAGTTTGTCGAATGAGGGTTAGGTGGTACCCTTTATAAAAACAGAATGGGTAACGGGATTTTTTTCAAGAGACTTACAGTCTAAATATTCTAAAGCTTTTTTGTTGCCCTGAATAAAATTTCTTGCCTCGATCCTGAATTACAACTGCTATTATGTATCTTCTGATATATCTTCTGAATACCTAGCTGTCAAGAGATCCATTTTGTATGTCTGACCTGGTTAGGTCAGGTCAGCAGCTCCCAAGGTGTGGTCCTGAGCCAGCAACATCAGCATCACCTAGGAACTTGTTAGGAAGGCATATTCTCTGCCTCATCCAGGTCTACTGAATCTGTATTAATCCGATGCCCTAAAATTTAAGAACACTGCAGTAATAGTTTCCTCTTGTGGCACAATCATAATCCCAGTCATTTACAAATTTTATCTGTGACCTGGTGCTAATCTTGTTCCTTTACTTTCTATACAGGTCCCCTCCCCTCACAATGGTCTTCCTCTGTGCTACCAAATTCTCCACCTCTGCCCCTTCATCTTGCACAGACATCACCACCTTCTTGAGCAATGACCCAAGTTCTCTGCCAAAGGTGCCAGTTACCAGTTCAGAAGCTAAGACCCAGTGTGGCCCAGCAGTGACAGCCACTAAGAAACCAACCACTTCTCTGGAATCATTCTTCCAAAAAGCTGCAGAAAAGCAGAAAGTCAAAGAAGCTTCACTGTCATCTCTTACTGCCACTACCCAGGCCCTTGTGAGCAATTCACCATCCAAGGCCTCCTTACCTTTCCAAACCAGTCCCGCTACGGGAACTGAGCCCTTCTTTAAGCAGAAGAGTCTAATTCAAAAGCAGAAACAGCTTAGTAATTCTTCAGTTTTCTTCCCTCCACAAAATCCACAGTCTAGCCCTCAGCAGTTAACAAACTATCTTCCAACAGAGTATCCAGATTGCACCCCTGTCTGTGAAGCAGCACTGAAGCTAGGATCCTCTGAAACAACTCCTACAGAGATGGATTTGGCTCAGAACAGCCCAAGCAGGCTTGCTTCTTTAGCTTCCAGCTCTGCTCTGGAGGTGGCTCAGAAATCAACTATTACCCCAAGTCCTGTGGCATCTGAGGACCAAATACCCTGTGAGAAGTGTGGCTCTCTGGTACCTGTATGGGAGATGCCGGAACACATGGACTATCATTTTGCATTGGAGTTACAGAAATCCTTTCTGCAGCCCCACTCCTCAAACTCAGAGGCTGTTCCTGCCAGTTCTCCTCAAAGCAAAAGAAATCCCAAGAGCCCTTCAGCCTCCAGTAATAAACGCCCTAGGCCTGAGGGCATGCAGACATTGGAATCTTTCTTTAAGCCATTAACACACTAGTGCTGCCCTCAGGCTTGCTGCAGGGTTTTAATATTTTACCTGTAAACTAGGAGATGGAAATATGCTCACTTTGCAAGGAAATCCATAACTTCATGAAATTTTTAGTAAGAGAAACAGTCCAGTTAGATGCTGACTTAAAACTCCCCATCTCTTCACATGTATGGATTCCAATTCCACTGCTGACAGAGATGTAAAAACTGACTTATCTTGCAGAGATACCACTGCTTTGAGTTTCTAACCATTAGAGTTTAGGGAGGCAGTGTCAGAGTACAAATATGTGGGCCTTGAAGCCTAGGGGAGGCACTTTCCTCACTTTTCCTCATCTGTACAACTGATAAACTTTACAGATTTATGGGAGATTAAGGACAATGTATTTAGAGTATGTGGCTTAAAGATGGCGCAAAAAAGCTGAGTGAGAAAAAACATTTTTTAAACTTTTCCCCAGCTCTGTGACAGGGGCAGTTCAGATAATGGCTTTGACCAAAATTTGAGGTTTGAGAATGTGAGGTGAAGACCTAAAGTGGTAACTGGTTTAGGGCAGGGCTCTGTACACAGCAGCTGCTCAATAAATATTGAATTTCATACAAGAATATCCTATTATGGCCACAGTTTTAGCCACTGGCCCTTCTACCTCTTGCAATTGGTCTAATGTAGAATCCGATTGTTAATAGACCAGTTCAGGAACTCTGTTTAGATTGGTTAAGTCACGATCAGAACTAGATCATCTCTAGATTCATACTAGGCAGAGTGTGATTTTGAGGGTCATCAGGGAACTTACTAGAAATTGTTTCAGCCTCACCTCTACCCCTGCTGAATCAGTATCCGTACATTAATAAGATTCTCCACGGTGTTTGAAAAACACTGATCTAGAAGATGCGGTGGCCAGCCAGGTTTGTAGAGTGCAATGACATTTCCTTAAACCCTGAAGTACAAATTTAAGAGGTAGTGCTTGGCTTTCAGGGTCACTGGCCTGTTCTTCATCTCTTACCTTCTGATGTTTGAATATTGAGCTTAGGGTTTACTGTAGCTTTCTGCACTTGTCCATGTTTATAATACTGTATTCTTAATCTGCGGTCTTCTATGTGGAAAATCAGCTTTTTTGATACGGGAAACCTTGTGTTACATAGAGAACCCAACTGCAGATGAACTGAACTAGGTGGTGTTGGGGGAAGTGAGTAGGAAGAATGGTTTATGTATCCCCCCTCTCATACGTCACCCACCGCTCTTCAAATTTATTTATAAATTGGGAGTCTATATTTAGTTTGAAGAAGAGGGTAGCATTTGAAAAACACTGTAGCAAAAAAATTACTTCTTCCTTCAAAAATATTTTCCTCTTATAGCAGTTGAATAATGTGTACATGGCCCTTTTCCTACTAGATTTGTAGTTTCTTGAAGGCAAGAATTCTCTAGTGCCTTGCACATAATAGGTGCTTGATATTTACTGGGTGGAACTTGTGTAGTAAGTAATTTTAGATGATTACTAGGACCGAGAGAGTAAAAATGTACATGCTACTGGTGTGGGGGAGGGTGACTGCTTTATGTATCTTTTTATCCTCCTAAATGTTTCATTAATGTAGCAAGGTATAGCTCACTGGTTCCTGAAGATGTCTTATTAGATACTGTTATCAGGGGCGCCTGAGTGGCTCAGCCAGTTAAGCCTCTGCCTTTTTGGCTCAGGTCATGATCTCAGGGTCTTTGGATCGAGCCCCGCATCAGGCTCTCTGCTCAGCGGGGAGGCTGCTTCCCCCTCTCTCTCTGCTACTTGTGATCTCTGTCAAATAAATAATATTAAAAAAATCTTTTTAAAAATAAATAAATACTGTTTTCAGGGGATGCCTGGGTGGTTCAGTCAGTAAAGCGCCAGCATTCAGTTCAGGTCATGACCCCAGGTCCTGATTTGGAGTCCTGCATCAGGCTCCCTGATCAGCGGGGAGCCCACTTCTCCCTCTGCCTGCTGCTCTCTCTGCTTGTGCACCCCCCCAGACAAATAAATGAATAAAGTCTTAAAAATAATACTGAGATAATTTCCTAAAATTTCCTTACTTAATCCAGTGAAAAGTTTAAAAAAAAAAAAAAAGCCTAAAATGAAGCAATACCTCTCCTTCAGGTACCATACAGATTAAGTGGAACAAATTTTGAACACTTTGGTTGACTGGAAAGAGTCCTATAGAGAAGCAATGTGGTAGAAACTCTGGTTTCATTGGACTTAACAGAGGCCAAGACAGGTGGGGGAATGGGTAACTAGTAACGACAATACCAGCAGCACCCCTTCTGTTTCCTTGGAAATGCTACCCCTGCCCCAGCATACCAGTAATCAGCCTATGGAGGGGAGAGCAGACAGATATGCAAAGGTCAGTGCCCAGCGAAAGCTACAGGACCATTTTGCTGAATACAACCTTCTCTCATAGCTGTTTATCAGCAACTGCATAGAAGGAAGTAAACAGCTTTTAGTCCCCAACACAGGAGGAAGGGGAAGTTCTTCAACCAGAAGCTTCTTACAGTAGCAAGTTAAGCCATTGATATTTTTAAAAACAGCAGAGCTTGAAGAGTTAGGGAGGCTATTACTTTAATACTCAGAACAGGGGCACCTGGGTGGCTCAGTCAGTTAAGCCTCCCACTCTTGATTTCAGCGCAGGTCATGATCTTGGGGTCTTGATATCAAGCCCTGTGCCAGGCCCCACTTGGGAGATTTTCTTCTCTCTCTCTCTCTCTCTCTGTCCACACCCCCACCCCAATCCCACTCAGCTGCCTGCTGGCACATACTTTCTCTCTTAAAAAAAAAAAAAAAGTAAAGAAAAATACCCTGGAGACAGAATGCCTCATGGGACTTTCCTTGGGCCACATTTATCATTAAATTTCTTTTGTAAGGATCAGTACTCAAAACGCAGTCCCATAAAACATGACAGTACTCTGAATACAGAAACAGGAAGAAAGGACTAAGGTTTGGCCTGGCGGCCCTCAGAGCTCCAGAAAGCTAGCCAGTTCAGGCTATGCAAACTTCACTTCTCGAAATCTTGCATTGCTAGGGAAAGCGTGAGGGCCGGATTACCCTGACTCTAAGATCCATTCTTAAGTAGCTGGCAAACTAATCTCCAAATCTCTGACACCGCAGAAGCGGAGTCCTCACCACTGTGACCACAGCTGGGGCCCAACTTCTCAAGGACGGGGTGGTTACTTATATCAGCTGAAAAAGGAGCAGTTTCACTTTCTAGTCTGCTCATTCGAGAGCTATGCAAATAAGCCAGAACAGCCAGGTCACAGTAGGGGAACACTGATCGCAAGGGAGGGAGAGGAAAGGAAGAATGGTCCATGAGATACCAGACGGGTTCTTTCCCCATTCAGGGCTCAGCAGTGTTAGGGTTTCCCTTGTCTAATCCTGAAGAGGAATCTAGCTCTGGAAGCTGAGCCTATATCTTAAGCATAAGCACAGTATGTTCAATAAAACATTTTTTATTCTGTACAATATATATATGTGTATTTAAATATATAGGTGTGTGTGTGTGTGTGTGTATAAATGTACACATATATATATACACAGGTATGCAGAGAAACCTGAACCAACAAATCCCTGAGTCCGGGGAACCCAGGACATTTACAAAGGAAAAGGAGGGAGTCCATGCCCTAAAAGTGTAGGAAATATGGCAACATCTTTCCCTTTCCTCCAGGTTCCCTGCAACAGAGGGAGGACTTACATGGGAGCAGAAACGGGGGGCGAGGGTGGCAGGATGAGGAGCTGTGGGCCAGGTCCCCAGTCACTAGTGTGGGAAAGTAAAACACTGTTTGATTCAACATCAAAACCAACAAATCACTGCAGAGGAGGGGACGAGACTGATTGACATGCAGCTGACCTTCGGTACGCCAAACCTGAGCTTGGCAGCCCCACGCTTGGGTCAGCATGACAAATAGCACCTGTGGGGCCTATGAGCAGAGAAATGGGAAATGGCCCTTGACTGAAGAAGGGAAAGGAGACAAAGCTGAGGAACAGACCTCATGTCTCAGCACAACGTGGGAGCACTGTCCCTATGCCATTTCTTCAGACCCCGGGCCACCAGATGGCCAGGAGCAAATGTCTTTCATCCACAGTCAAGTAGAGATGGGCAACTTACATGGCCTTGAGAAGAGGTATAGAAAAAGGTGTGTTCTTGAGGACCACCCCCAGGTGTTGTGACAATTCCTGAAGTGGAGGGACCGCACCGGCGAATCATGCCCAGTCTGGACAGTGGGGTCAAGGTGGCGCTGGTCAGCTCCCTCCAGTAGACAGGCCACGGGGTTGCCAGGGTCGATGAGCCAACCAGATGGACACACAGCTGCTGAGCACTGCCCTGAATTCTCCTGTCTTCTCCCTCAGGACTGCCCCTCCCTGGCCACACCGAGCTTGGCACCTCTCCAGAAAGGTGGCAGGGAGCATGGGGCAGAGTACCGGTCTCTCCCTCACCTATTAACACACAGAGCCGCCAACAGCGGGCAGCGTGGCCAGATGTCACCTTATATATTGTAGGGACAGCAGTGGAGCTGTGCCTGCCTGGAGGACTTCAGAAGCCCATGTTGGCCTGGGCCTCTCCTGCTGCAATGGCTTGTACATCAGTGACATGGCCGATGCCCTTGGTGACACCCTCCCGGAACAGCAGCTTGGCGCCCACCTTCAGGTACTCTGGGTGTTTCAGGAAGCGGAAACGTACCACTGCCTTCTCCCCTGTCCGCAGCTTGTCCTGCAGCAGATAGGCCATCACTGGTCCTGGACAGGGCCTTCCATCCGGTTCTCTATCAGCCTGGGGTCTCCACCCCCCAGGGGCCAATCAGGCTTCTACCCACCCAGAGTGGGGCTCTGTCCCCTTTGTGGGATTAGGGAGTTCTCTGGGAGTCTGGGACCCGGCCTCCTTCCTTTCTGGAGGCAGAAGAATTCTAACCTTTCCCTGGAAAAACAGCATGGCTGGGTCCCTCTCACCTTGGCGTGGATCTTCTCCACCACTGCTGTCTGACGTACATTGCCCACATGTACCGTCACCTGGAAGCCTCGCCGGAACGTGGTGGCATGGAACAGCAGGACTATCTCTGCCTCGAACACTGAGCAGATTGTGGGATTCATCTCGGGACTCACCATCACCATGCCCTGGGGAGGCATAGCCCCGGGACCAAGGGCAAACCTTGTATTAGTCTCTCCTCCCCCCACCACCATCCCACCCTCTCCAGCTCCTGACCCTCTTCCTCTAGGGCTTTAAACACAAAGACCTCAGAAGCCAATACTCAAAACTCTCCACTTAGAAGCCTTCCTTATTCCTCCCATGTCCTCTAATCCTTCTTTCTAATGTTTAGTGTTTCTAGGCTCCTGGACATTCGGGTTGCAAAACAACATTCTGTATTTCAGTATTCTGAGTATTCTAAGCGTTTTTCATACAGTCTACATAACCTGCTTCTTGGGTTAGAGACTGTTCCCTCTGAGTTCCTCTGAAGCGTCTTAGGTGCTTCTCATTCAAGCAGCCAGTCTCCCAGGCACGCCTCTTTGTGCTCCCTCTCCGACCCATCCTCCCACCTTACCTTTCGAAGAAGTGCGCGGTCAAAGTCCCCGAGGGCCAGTGTAGCAGCCTGACCAGCTCGCAGCACGCGGCAGGCAGAGCGGTTCCGCTGGATGCTGCACACCCGCAGCTCCAGGAAGCGGCCGTCATCCGTGGGGCCCACCACCAGCTGGTCCCCTTCACGGCAAATCCCGCTGCAGCCCAGAAGGCAGGTGGCACGCCATCAGTCCAGCCCTCGCCCCAACCCTCACCACCTGCTTCTCTGCAAGGGTCACCCAGAAGTCTGCTTCCCTCTAAGCAGACTTCCTCCGTGGGGGAAAAGAAGGCTGGGGAGGAGGCCCTAGCTCAAGCTTTGGACTCCAACGGCTCATACCTAGAAAGGCCCGTAGCGATGGCAAGAGGGACCTAAGGCTTTGACTCTAAACACACCCTACGCCTTGAAAAGAGTCTTAAGAGATCTCTCACTTCCCGATGTGGAAATGACATCAAGTGAATACAACTGGGGCTCAAGGCCCACACTTCTCCCCCAGGAGCCTGGAGATTCTGAGTTCACACCAATACTATTTCTTCCCTCTGAGTCAACAGACTAGCTTTCTCCAGCTCTTGTCACGGTGAAAGCCCGATCCGGAAACAAGCACATCGTTTAGATGGGCTCTGTACAACTCCAAGGTCTCCTTAAGGCCATGATCGAGTGTACGGGTATGTGAGGGCTGAAGGGGATGGGGAGCAAGCAAAGCAACTCACCTGGAAAGTGTCCCTCCAACAACTGTCCCCACCTCTGGTACTGTGTAGATTTCGTCCACCTGCAGCCAAAGGAAATGCGACCAACAGCCGGCCAAATAGGGCAGGCAGGTCCAAAATCTCTAAATAGGCTCAGGGCTCAGTCAGGATTAGTCCCTCCCCATTGTCCAACTCATGCCCCGTTCAGGTGGCCAA